CATTGGCCATCTCTTCTGCCTAGAAGACGTCTCTCAGACGCATGTTCGTGCCTCCCCATCTCGCTCAGCTAGCTCTCCCTCGTGTTGGTCATGTGTACACCTGCCACCACTGTTTCATCTGCTGCTGCATCCCAGGTTCTCGGGTGTAGTAGAGGCTATCCTTCATGCTGGTCATGGATGAAAGTAAAATACAAACAGTAATGGTTTCTAGTCCACTGTGATTTCACGGCCTTACAGGAGCGACACTAGCAACAGGTGCCAGAGCAGGGCACTGAGGTCCCGGGGCCCCTCCCAAGGTTAGGCTTAGGACAGGCAGCCAGAGGTCTGCAGTTCACAGTGTATGTAGCCAGCTGCAAAGTTGGGTAAATGAACTAGAGCATCAGGAGGTGGACGTGATCCTCTTTCTCGGCCTCTCTTACTCCCCAGGCTCTCCTCTCACCTCCTTGAGAGCTGAGGAAGTCAGGGCATCCGATCTGTCCAGTGCTGGATGTGGCCCTGTTCCCTGAAATGTCTTGTCTGTGTAATTCATCTGGGCTCCAGACACCTGTGGGAAGAGATGGACTCTCATCCTTTCTCTGCCCTCCCCTCCGCCTCAGTGGGGTAAAGAAACCCTTCTGCATCTTGCTCGTTGATACTTTTACCGTGAAGAATGTTGGATTTTATCAAACTCTTTTTTTTTTTCTTTTATTTTATGTGTGTGAGAGTTTTGCCTGCATGCCTGGTGCCTGCAGAGGTCAGAAGAGTCATTGGATCCCCTGGGACTGGAGTTAGAGATGGTTGTGAGCCACTATGTAGGCGCTAGGAACTGAACCCTGGCCCTCCGAGAGGGCAGTCAGGGCTCTTAGCCAGACCATTTCTCCAGCACCTCAGGGGTTTTTAAAAGCGTCTATTTTGAGACGACGACATTGTTTTTGCCTTCTGTTGTCTCATCCAGCCACCCCCACTTCCAGTGATGTAAGAAGCACTTTCATAGCCCTAGTAGATGGCTGAAACCTCAGACACTACTGAGCGCCTGTTTCTTGTGGTTTTTCCCTGTTCACACTTACCTACAATGAACTCTAACATGCAGATAGGACCCAGTGGCAGAGTACTGAGCATCTGTGAGTGCCCAGGTTCAATCCCCAGCAGCACCACAAAAGTTTATAAATTATGTATGGTGAGGGATAAATTGTAATTGTATAGCGAATAGAACAATTGTGACAACAGAGTACAATCTAACTGCCATGTCCCTTTTAAAATTTAGTGTGTGTGTGTGTGTGTGTGTGTGTGTGTGTGTGTGTGTGCACTCTCGTGTGTGGCAGGGGAGGGTATACGCAGGCACAGCACATGTGGAGGTCAGAAAACAGCTTGTGGGAATCTGTTCTCTTCTTCCACCATGTGGGACTCGCAGTCCTTACGCACTGAGTCATTTCAAGCTGCTGCCACCCCTTTTGTTGAGACAGGGTTTCGCCATGTAGGCCCTGCAGCCCTGAACTCCCAATCCCCCTGCCTTAGACTCCCAAAGACTGGTAGGTGGATACCATCTCACCTCCAGAACATCCCTGATCTTGCGCTTTGGACCTGTTTTAAGTGAGAAATGTGTTTTGGGACATGACAGCTGATCTGACAACCCAGTCGGCTCCTGAGAGTGTGCAGCATGGGTCCCGGGTACAGGGTCAGTTCAGGTTGAGACCCCACCACTGTGGATGGCCAGGTATCCCAGCCCCTTGGCAGGGCACACAGTTTAAAATGCCTGAGTCATTCCCTTACGTGCTTTGGACTGTGGGTGACTCTAGGTGATAGAGCCTGTGGGTCTGGGTTAGGTGAGGAGTTCCCTGATGGCAAGGGTTGCCTGGGTGGTTTCCATGTACATATGTTGATGCGTCTGTCTTGGAGGCTGGACACAGAGTGGGCGTCGGTGCTGTTCAGGACACCCTGGATTGGGCTCTCAATGGATCCTTCCTTAAAAAATAATCTCTTAATTATTTGAGATTTCTTACAATATTTTTATCACGTCTACCTTCTGCTAGTCCCTTAACTCCCCCCAGACCCCAACTTCCACATTCCGTATTCCCATCCCACCCCAGCTCCATATGTCATCAACTCTTTTATTAAAGGGCTCACTGAGTTCAGTTTTTGCTGTGTACTCCTGGGAATGGGCTCATCCGCTGAAGTGTAGATGACCTACTTTTGGCCACCTCTGATACTCCCCCCAAACCTGTCAGCCGTCAGTAGCTCCTTAGTGCCGGCTTGGTCCTTGTGAACCCTACTCCCTGTGAGTGTTGCCTGACTGGATCTCGTGCAGGCGTTGCGCAGGCAGCCACAGCTGCTGTGAGGTCACGAGTACAGTGGTCTGTCCAGAAGACTGTTTTGCTCAGTCCTCTCCAGCCTCTGGCTTTGACAGTCTTTCTCCCTGTTCAATAGTCTTGGAGAGGGTTGACGTCAACGTACCATGTGTGGCTGAGCACTCCACTGACTCTTATTCTCTGCGCTGTGTCCAGTTGTGAGTGTCTGACTCAGCCACCCTGCTTCATTATACACCTGCCAGGGCAGCTGTGGTCAGATGCACAGAGACCTGGGGCCAGGTTCCCGTGAGCCCAGCGCCTCACTGTTTACTCACTGTAGAGTTCCATGCAAAAAGCTTCACCTCTCTTTTTGGTTTCCCCATTTGTAAATGGGGTGACAGGGGTGCTTTCTTGGTGGTGGTGCGGAGCAGCCTACAGTGTGAGGGGGGAGTGACTGTGTGGAATTGTGTCCAGAACAAGAGTTGATTGAGATGTTGCCGTAATCGGAGGCACTGTGTAAAAGCCTGGATGGGCCACAGCAGGAGAGATGCTGAGATCTCAGAAGCCAAAATCAGATGGTCAGGCTGGTTTCCCAACTGAAAACTCCAGTGAGGGCAGTCTTTGGCACTCTTACAGGATATGGCCAGCAGCTTTCTGAGTCTTCCTGAAAGAGGAGGATGGACTAAGTCCTGGGCCAGAGGTGTGACCAGACCCCTGTCAGGCCAGGTAGCCCCTGCCTAAGGCTGCTGGCTGTAGAACTCTGCAGGTTATTCAGGTGTGAGCACCAGGCCCCTGGGCTGCAGGGTTGCACAGAGCCTCTTGTACAGCTTGTATTATTCTCCCTCCACAGACAGCTGTGGGAGGAAGGGCCTGCTGGTCACTCACCAGCCTTCCTGCGCAGTCTCTGGCTCTGGGTGGAGTGCAGACGTGGGCCTCACTTGGATAAAGGCTTACAGCTGTGTGGTAGGACCTGCCCCTCCCATCTCCCGACCCTGATTTTCCTGCCATCTCTTCTGCTGAACCACTAGATCAACCTGCTCTCTTGGGCTGTCATGTGATTTTGGTCATCTGAGATGCTGAGCATCTGTTGGATCTATATAACCAGACAATGGTTATATACCACAGGTTGAGGGTGAAGACACATGAGCAATTGAAGCAGTCTACAAAGGCTGGCTTCCGACCCCCTCTTGGGGTCCCCAAGGAACTGTAACCCCAAACTATTGTGTGTACATGGCGTTTGGACTTCGCCTAAGGAGAATGAGCCGAGAGGGGAGAGTAACCACTCTGCTGTCCTATTGTGTTGTTTTTCATGAGGAAGATGGGGCTGGACCCTGATTTAGTGTGCTGAAGAGACAGTATAGCACTTGCTGGTTTGTTTTGGACCTAGTTTCCAAGTCTGTGGCTAGAAAGCTAACCGTGCACCCACTAACACCCAGCCTTTCCAACTATCTGTGCCCAGAACAGGGTGGTCCCACCTCCCGGGAGCTCATGGTCTTTTCAGGGATGGGGACTATGACAAAAAGCAACAATAATAAACCAATAATTGAATAATCATTGGGATTAAAAAAATATGTGCTTTCCCACCAACAATCTGCTTTGTCCTGACCTTGTTTGGCAACATAAGTTCAGGAAGTATGCATAGAGCAAGTCAGCTTCCATGGCCTTGCCCCATACCCAGCAGTGTTAGAACGCATAGAGTGAGGAGGACAGTGAGATGGCTCAGTTGGGGGGGGGGGCTGCCACCACCAAGCCTGAGGGCCTGAGCTCAGTCCCCAGAACCCACATGGTTGAAGGAGAGAACCAACTCTGGCAAGTTGCCCTCTGACCTCCACACATGCACCAATGCCAATGAATGCATTGTTATTGTTTATATTATATGTTATTTCATTGAGACAGGGTTACTCTGTGTATCTCTGGCTGTCCTAGAACTCACTTTGTAGACCAGGCTGGCCTTGAACTCATAGTGATCTGCTCACCTCTGCCTCCCAAGTGCCAGGATTAAAGTCATGTGCCACCAAGCTTGGGTGTGTGTGTGTGTGTGTGTGTGTGTGTGTGTGTGTGTGTGTGTGTGTGTGTATGTGTGTTTTAAGAAAGAATCCACTGAATGAGCACCAGAAGAGACAGCCACAATTTCTGAGGCCAGTAGGTGTGGCAGGTCAGGGAGAGCTGAGAGATTAGAGGCTGAGGCGGGAGCCTGATGCCTCTGTGTGAGGGATAGTGTTCTCTTAGTTTCTTTGAGAGTGACTTTGCAGACTGTAGAGGACATGTGGATCACAACAGTGCAGACCTGTGCTCAGAGCTAACCACCTGACACTGTCTGTGACTTCCATGAAACCAAGATAACAGATAGGCGAGGCTGCTGAGGTAAGGCAGTGACAGCGGTGCATTGGGTTAATGCTCAACATGGCATCCTCTTAGATAGCTCTCGTTGTGCAAGCACAGACCTAAAGCCTAAGAATTTAGTAATTATAACTGTAAAACTGTGGGAGTTTTCAGTGCACCCCACGTTTTCCGGTTAGCATGTGACAGAGGACTAGAGAGATGGTTCAGCCATTACAGGCCAGGCTCACAACCAAAAGAGCAGGAATTTCATGTTGACAGAAAGTCGTGGGAAGTGGGACAGCCACACTGTGCCTATTGTATACACATGCGTGTGGGCTGTGGAGTTGGGGCCCGAGGAGGTAGGGATGCATGGTGGCTCTGGCCAGTGCTCTGACCCCACTTCCTTTGCCCTAGATGACAGGATCTGCTCACCGCCCTTCATGGAGCTCACCAGCCTGTGCGGGGATGACACCATGAGGCTGCTGGAGCAGAATGGCCTGGCCTTCCCCTTCAGTACGTACACCGTGGGCTCCAGGGCAAACATCATGCTGTGGGAGGCGGTCCTGTAGACCTCACAGGTCCTGTAGATTTGCACTTGCCTGAAGCAATTGAAAGCCCTGGATGCCAAGAAGAGCGCCCAGCCCTGGGTCCTACTTCTGCTCTGCCCATACATTGAGAGGGTGCTTGCAGGATGGGTTGAAGGAATGCCTCCTGCCTGGCCTGGGACCATTTGTCAGTGACTGTCATCTCCACTTAGTTCCCACCAGTCCTTTGTGCCCTTCTGCTGAAGGTATCCTGAGAGTTCCTTACCACCCTGAATACCGTCGCCCCCCCCCCCCCCCCCCCCCCCCCCCCCCCCCCGTCTCACCCCATATCAGTATCTAAGCAAGGCCCGGCCTGGCTAATACTTAGATGGGAGGTTCCTGTCCAGAGAGGCCCAGTCATCCTTGTCTGTGTGTGGTTACCAGCTCCACAAATCCCACTCTGCTTTTCTTTCCCACAGTCTGCAAAACCAGAGTGGCTCATGGCACCAACTCTCACGAGGTGAGTGACTTTCCTATCCTTGAATTCGCCCATCGCTCTCACTGAGGCCCTGCTAAGTTCTATGGCTACAGCCACACCTGCTGCTGCTCATTGTCCTACTCTGAGAAGCAATACCTTGGGGGGTGTAGCTCAGCAGAAGAACCTCTGTGGCTCTGTCCTGTCTCCCACCTCGCCCACACTCCCTGTCCCTATTCCTAAGGCTGCCTTCCCCACCTTAGAGCCTGGCTTAGCCTTCCCTGGGATGCTCTGCAAGCTGCCAGCTGGGCAGTCCTCACAGCAGATGATCATCTTCCAGCCCAGAGGGCCACAACCTTTTTCTGGTAAGAGTGTCCCGTGGGCTGCCCTGTTAGTGCATCCTCGAGTCTTGCTTTGCAGACTTGTGTAAGGGGAGATAGTGAACTCTCAAGAGGGCTCTCAAGAGGGACCCATTTTTGAGACCTCATCCAAGCCTCACCACCTGTTAATGCCATCACACTGGGGCCAAGGGCCTCCAAGTGTGTATTTGGGAGACACACACATGCAGTTTGTAGCAGAATCCACGGAAGTCACACCAGACTCGTTCTTCCTTGGTTCTGGCCTTGCATCCATCAGTGATCGGTGCTGGCTAGACTCTCAAAGGGGCTCTTGAGAGGAGTGCCTCAGTCCTGCTGGTTCAGAGATCTGGAGATAGACCCCACATCTCCAGTGTGCTGAGACCCTTCTATATGCATGGGTGTTCTCCCCACCTTGATATAAAGGAATCTTGCCCAATGCCAGCACAGAGCCTCTGGCGAGACATTTTAAGCATGTGAGGACTTAGGGCCAAGAGGGGCAGTGTCCACACAGAGGACCCTTGGGTCCCAGTAGTGTTCTCAAGGGTTCACACGCTAAGCAGTCCTGTGGGGAAAAGCCCGCCTGCATAACCGTACTGTCAGAAGTGCTCCCTGAGGGAAGACTAAAAATGGAAGGCCAGACACCATGACTTTCACCAGATCTAGGTCATTCTCATCTCCTGGCAGATGTTTACGGGGAAATGTCTATAAACAGTGTCAGAACACCAGGAGCAGGCTGTGCCAGGGGGTGGCCCTGCCGTGGGAAGGGAGGCCTCGCCAGCTGCAAGGGCAGCTGTCTGCTAAGGTCAAGAGACGAGCGGGGGTCTCCTGGCCTCCTGAGTTCCCAGCTGCAGCAGCATCTCATGAGTAAGCCAGGAGGGAGCGGGCAGGCTGTAGCGCAGCCATAGTACTGTTCCCTGTCACCACCAAGTCGCTCCTCTGTGGGACAGGGGAACACAGAGTTAGCACAGGGCCAGCACGGCGGCCAGTGCTGCGTGTTGACCGCTGTGCATCTCCAGGCAATTACTGTGCTTCTCTGAGCATCCGCCCACACTTCCAGCTGGTGATTTGGCTGGTACGGGGTGGGAGAGTCACCATGTAGCTTGCCACAGTGAGGAGCCTGGCCCACGGTGTTTGTTAGATTCACTGTTGTAGGAACAGCTGCTCGGGGGTGGGATTTATGGATTGATGGGGGCAGGCCAGGCCCTAGGTGTGGTCATCACAACCCCTCTCCCCGCCCCGGGTAGGCCAGCTGGCTCCAGGTGTATGCAGGTGCACATCCTCTGCTGCTGTCCACCCGAACACACACTGGTTTTTCCACATGGCTTGCATTTTGGTTTCTGTCCTGCCCAGCTGAACTTCGGGCACGAGAAGGTAATATTCTGTGGTGGCTGATATGAGGCTGACAGTTGGTCAGGTGGCCATGTGTCCAGGCCCATTAACCCTGCTCAGTGGCCCCAGAATGTGCCTGGGCTCTTTCCTGGCTGTGTGGAGAGTGATCTAGCTTAAGCCACTACTTCAGGTGGTCAAGGTCAATCCCTTGGTCCCATCATCCTCAAGGCAGATCATAGTAGACTCCAGACACAGCCTGTGACAGAATAGAAGAGGGCACAGTTGCCCTCCCCACCTCACTCAGCCCCCATCAGAGCCTCCAGCAGCCTCCATTTTCCTAGAGGAGCTGGAGACTAGGACAAAGTCATATTCCAACTGGCTGGATAACATGTGACTGTGTGAGAGGGCATGGCGGGGTGCCAGGCAGACCCAGTTCCAACCCAGCCTCTCACTGTCCTGCAGATGACTCTCTGAAGCATGCGAGGGGCCTCAGTTTCTTTATCTGTAAAGATGTGGCAGTGTGCCCATCTCAGGCACTGTGAGGATGGCACCAGGGGACTCAGTGCTTCCGGTGATGGTATAACAAGAGGCAACTCTGACCCAAGGCCTCCTGCTCGTGGCCCACAGCGTCTGCTTCCTGCTTCCTGCTTTCCCCTTTTGGGTGTTTGTGGAAGAGCCTCCAAGTGTCCTAAGCAATGAGTAGCACCCAACCTGGGGAGCCCCAGTCCCCAGAATCACAGTGACTAATGCTCTCGGGAGCTCTGGAGCTCACTGCCTGCTCAGCTGGGCAGAGCCAGTGGATGCAGGGTTTCCCAGCCCCAATCCCACCCACCATAGCACAAGCTGCCTAGTTCACAGGTGCTCCTGCACACTGCTCCACTTACCCTGCCTTGACGCTGTTCTTCTTGGGGCGTCCTCAAAGGACTCATTGTCCCTGAGGGTATCAGAGGAGGCACTCTGGAGAGCAGCCTCGGACTCATGGAGGAACCCTCCACATGCTCACCTCCATCCATCTTGAGCACCAGCTCTTTTGCCACAGGGCCAGGTAGAGGTCATGGTGGGGTTGCCTAGGAAGGCGACAAGTCACTGTGTTGGAGGCTGGAAGATGACGGACTCTGACACAGCCTTTGGTCTTTGTTCCTCCAGATGGCCATTGTGTTCAACCAGGAGGGCCTGAATGCCATTCAACCCCCTTGTGTGGTTCAAAACTTCATCAACCACAACGCTGTACTCTACAAGGTGTTTGTGGTGGGCGAGTCCTACACGGTGGTCCAGAGACCCTCCCTCAAGAACTTCTCTGCGGGCACATCAGGTAATCCACTGCCCCTCATATCGTCACTCTGTGCCAGACCCCAGGGCAGAGCTGGGACAGATACCCAGCGTCTGTCTCCTGGTATTCCTTGTTATTTCTTGGTTAGGGAGAGATGACCTGAGTTGCATACAGTAGATGGATTAAAAGGTCCCGAAGAACCAATGAGAGAGACCCAGTACCATAGGCACTGGTGGGCCTCCAGCCCTCAGCCACTGCCAACTCTGGGAAACTTACTATCCCCAGGAAGGTCCCTTGGCCCACCCAGGGATGGTACTCCAGAGGAGAATGCCAGAGTGGGTGTGGCCAGCCTGATGCTGGACGTGAGGGAGGGAGATGATTGCTGACTGCTCTTCATGCCACCTTTGCCTGGCGTGTCTGCTTTCCAAAAGGGGCCCCCGAGTCTGAATTATCTGCAGCTTCCGAAGCGGTCAAGGTCTGTCAGGGCTTCCATAGCAGGCAGTAGCGGCTAAGTCACAAAGACCTCTGTGGAGGACCTCAGGCACATCCCATCAGACATAACTACCCCTGCCATGTCACAGTGAGCTTCCCCTGAATCGATAGGCAGGGCCCTAGTGTCTCTCAGAGGTCACATGGTAGAAGTGTTGGTGTGATTCATTGTCCTTGAGGGACTGGAGATCCGCCTTGGACTACTCGGAGGAGCCCTTCACACATTCACCTCCATCATCCTGGGCACCAGGTGTTTTGATCCATTCAGTTAAACACATGCTGACACCCAAAAGAATGTTCTAGCATTCCTGAAGGCCCTCCCTAAGGCAAGCTCCAGAAGGTTGTGGGTCAGCATAGGTTTTTCTCCCTGAGAGTTTCTTAGATGCTGGATTTCCCAGCGAGGCTTGTTTCTGCCTGGGAGGAAAGAGCTATCCCCAAGCCAGCCAACTCTAGCTGAGCAAGCAGTGGCCTTCCTCAGGGTCAGAAGGCCCTGTTCCTGGGGCTGCCTATTGGCAGCTGCTCCTCCTGTGTCCACTCTGAACCTTCTACCCTTACTGAGACCAGCTGGGCTTCCAAGCTAGGGTTTAGGACAGTCCCATACTGACGCTGGTCCTAGCACTTGCCACTGAGACTGTGCAATGAGAGCAGAGGTAGACAAATGTCACATGTGTCACCAAGAGATATTCTTGCAGGCTGCGGGACAAAGGAGACTAAGGTTTTTAAAAAAATGTTTATTTGCCTGATTTTAAAATTACACCCATCGAATGTATGAAAAGTGTATTCAGTTAAGTTATAGCTAGAGGTGCCTAGCATGAAGGGAATCCAGGTTCCGTCCCTAGTACTTCACACATACACACACACACACACACACACACACACACACACACACACACACACACACACAGTTATGCCTCGATTATGGCACACCCTTTCCTTTCTTAACCAAATCATTTCATCTCTGAATGAAATTTGGCATCTGATCTCCTTTCTTACTCCCACAACAGCGTGCTTGTTCACTACTTCCTCCTCTCTCTTCCTGGTTGTAAAGCGCTAGGCCACTTTCTGCCTTGTCGCGCCAGGAGCTGGGAACGGTAAAGGCAAGAACCAGTCAATGTGTCATCTCCTGTGACTGTTTCTAGGCCACGGAGCACCCTGAGGCATAAAACTGGGAGGTGGGCTGGGGATCAGAGTGACTTTCCGTGCACCTGTCTGGTCCAGAAGTGGCATGGTTCCAGCACTGACTGCACGCTCTTTGCCTGAGCAAGAAGACCTCGGGCATCAGCCGCCCTTCCTCCTGACTACTTGGGAAGAGGGCAGAGCCCACCCAACCTTCTAGGCCCTGCCGCACAGCGTGGCCAGTCCCTCAGCTTTCTTGGGAGATAGGTCTCCTGGCTTGGGGTTGTTGTAGTTGTGGGATATAGACAAGGGCACTTTCACGCCACAGCTGCCATTCTCCTTTGATCTCACGTGCATTTCTGTCCTTTATGTGTCAATGTCCCAAGTCAGATGTGTGACTTATATAGCCCACGGTACTTTATAGGTGCCGGGACTGAACCCAAGGAGTTTACTGAGAGCCAGCTTTGGTTTGTGCCAGCTGCCGAGGAATGTGCTCATGTTTTCTGCCTTTGGGCCACACTCCAAGTCAGTGGTTCTCATCCTGTGGATCATACCCCTTTGGGGGTCATGTATCAGATATCCTGCATATCAGATATTTACATTACAGTTCATAACAGTAGCAAAATTACAGTTATGAAGTAGCAATGAATAATTTTATGGTTGAGGGTCCGCACAACATGAGGAACTGTGTTAAAGGGTCGCAGCATAAGGAAGGTTGAGAACCACTGCTCTAGGTAGCCTTTTCCTGTTTCCCTTTCATCCTGTACCTTGACCCTGAAGCCACCATTTCCCTGGGCTTCTAGCTTTGTGAAAGGGCTCTGCTCCCCATCTCCCTCTTGGTCCCAAAGGTACATGAAAGAGTGGTGCCTCTTACTCCTTTGAAAGGGTGAGTAAGTATCTCCAGGGCTGTCCCTGTCATTTGATGCTATTGCTGGGTGAAAGTGATATGCAAATGAGCAGGTGGGGCTGTGCTCTCCAAGGAGACTGCAGATGCAGGTAACGTGGTTTACAGTCTGTAGTTTGCTGAGCTGACAAGATGCCCAAAGTCATAAGATGCTGCTTTTATTAAACATGCCATAGACTCCCCCAGGGTGGCATGCTAGAGGACCAGCCAGGAGCCAGCCAGGCTGGTTCGTGAGCAGTGTGTATTCCAGTGAGGAATAGCACACGGGGGAGATGTCACTGGAGGGCCAGTTTTATTGGAGAAGAGGGCTTCAGGGGACATGGGGAAGTACTGGAACACCAGGATGGGGGATGGGAACACCAGGAGAGCCCCATGGGAAGGGCTGAGCAGGGAAGCTGGCACCTCTGCAGAGTCGGGGTTCAATGACAGGGTGGTGGCATACTCCGTGGGGACAAACAGGAGACTAAGCACAGAGGCTGAAAACAAGCATGGTGATAGTCTACATTGCTGAGATATCTGAGCCAGTCTGGTCACGTACCCTCCTTTTGAGTATGTTTTTTTTTCTCCCTGAGAGCAAAACCATCCTACCACCCATCCCCTTGGCCTCCCATTCTTACTGGAACTTGAGGGTGGCCCCCATGCTGAGTTGTGGGACTTGTCCAGGAGCAGTTCTCCTGGGAGCAGGGGCCTTGCTGCTGCTAAGGGGTGGGAGCAAGGCCCAGGCCTCACCCATCTGTTAGCAGAACCAGCTGTCTCAGAGCTTCCTAAGAGCCAGGCACCTAAACACCTCCAACCCATCCCAGCTCCCCTCAGTCTCTTGATAGCATGCATGGCTGGAAGCTGCTCCCTCTCCCCATCTCTGTTGCACATGGGATGGTGCTGGGCCTATTCCTCAGCCCAGGACACCACTCACTTCGTAGTCCTTACGTCACAGTGCCCCAGGCCTGGACAGTTTTCCTTTGAGCTTTCTGTACACTTGATCTGTCATGTTAGGGACATGATCTGGCCAGTGCTGTACACATCACAGGTCTCTGGTGCTGTCTCTTCCTAGCACCAGTCAACTGCCTGTGTGCCCTTCGTGCAGGCACCTGCAGGCTTCCCTGCTTCCCTGAGCATTGCTGTGTCCACCAGCTCCTGGTGACCTGTCCTCATACCACAGGCCTGCTCTGCTGTTCTGGCCTTTGCTCTTGGGGACCTATAGAGACTTGGGTGGGAGGTTCCCCGAGTTTGGGATGCTCCAGGAGGAGAAGGTTAGCAGCGCCTACAGAAGGCCAGAGAGCCATCCTATGGGATGAAGCCTTGGACTGGCCTCTAGCCTGCCAGCCTCTGCCACCCCCTGAAGGTTCACTTGTACCCGAGTGTAGGGACCAGTGGGCGTGCTTGACACAAGTCCCGCAGGGTGTTTATTTTCCCCAGGACCATCTCTCATGCCCCCCGTCTGGACTGGCTCTGGTCGGAGCAGCGGGAGGACTGTCGGGCACACCGGGGTGGCCAGGGGCCTCTGTGCCCCACTAGCGGGAAGGATGCCAGGTACTCAGCGCCTGCCTGCTTGGCTCTGCCTGAATCACTTCCTTGTGCATGATTTTTATGGCGCCGTAGAGTCATGGAGCTGCTGGGGGTCAAGGCAGCCGCAACAGGCACCTGAGCCCTTGGCACACAGGCCCCCAGCCAGTACCCATCTTGTCCTGTGCTTGGGGGGCCTGGGTCCCAAGGATAATCACCGTGTCCTGCAGAGTGGGGTCCATGACACCTCTTTTTGCAAGAACTTGGGCAAGGGTTGTCAGGATCCCTTGGGGTCTTCTAGCCCAGATTGGCCCTCTACTATTTATTCCTGGTGGGGGTGGGGCTATGAGGGGGTAACGGCCAGAACTCAACCCCTAGGCTTGTGGTTTTGTGATTCTTGCCCTAGTGTGTCCATGCTTCCAAGTGCTTGAGGACATTGCAAACTGCCCAGCCAAGCTTACATCCTCCCGGAGTGACCATGGCTCACACCTCAAGGATGTTTGTACCAGGGGCATAAATGAACGCACCATCACATTCCTGGGACTGAGCTGCCTCTCTGGTGTCCAGTAGGGCTGAGGGATGGTGGGTGGCAGCAGCTGTGGAATAGGACACGTGGCATAGAGGAGACTGGGACATTGCGAGGCTTTCCTGGGTGAGCCTGTGGAAGCCTTTGCTCAGGTTCCTATTAGGCAGTTGGGAACCTGTGTGTGTTAAGCTCATATATGAGTGGCCACCTGATTCGGGGGCGGGGAGGGTATCTGGATCAAATGGCATTTGATAGGCATCTTCACCTCAGGATGCTTCCAGACCTTTGATATCTGGGTGCACAGTGTCCCATTCCATTGCCCCCCTCTTCCCAGTCTCCTGAGCAGCCTTAGGTGCTAAGGACCCCACATATGGTGTTATAAGACGGTAGTGAAGGTGTCGCAGTAAGCCACTCATTTTTACGAGGGAGGACGAATTGAAACTTAGGACCTGATGCAACTGCCGGTGCCTAGCTCCCAAGAGCCCAGGGCTGCTGCGGTTGCTGCGCCTGAGGCCACCCAGAGCGTGGCTGGGGTGGTGCTGCCCCCTGCTGTTTTGGTATGTCCGTCTCCAAGTCTAATCCGCTCTGTGTCTTCTGTTCTTTCAGATCGAGAGTCTATCTTCTTCAACAGCCACAACGTGTCAAAGCCGGAGTCTTCATCAGTCCTCACTGAGGTATGTGTCTCATCCATGGATGGCCTGCACGCCAGGCCTGAGCCTGGATAAGAGTGTACTCTGCCCATGGGGTTCCCAGCTGAGCTGTCTGGCAGGTAGAAGAAGGAGCTTTGCCTCCATACGAAAGGCCCACATAGTCATATGTCAGTGGGCATCACAGCCTTGCCTGTGCCTGGCAAGGTGAGCACAGTGGGCCTGGTGAGGACTGCTTACAGTGTGGCAGCTCACCCATGGGGCATCCTCACTCCTGACATGGCTGGTGGTCAGTGTGAGCATCACTACGTCAGGCTTAGTGGGTGCTTGATGGCCTTGCAGCAGCTCTGTAGAAAGGGTGACCAGCTTGGAGACATCACCAGCTGAGTCCACACAGAGGCAAGCAGACATTTGAGCCCCACCTGTCTGATTGCAAAGTTGAGGCTTCTAGAACTTTCCTTCCTTGCTGGTGACATAAAATGCCTTGGGCTACAGTCTTCTTCTCTCCCTCCCACTCCCAGAAGTCGGGCCTCTGCTGGCTTCCTGCTCTTCTGAGGTGCAGCCAGGCATTCTGGGAGGTCTGGGTGGGTTCTTTTTCTTCTCCTGACTGGACTCATTAACAGAAGCTGCCAGTGCATGGCACCTGACCTGGTCTCAGTGCCCTGGCCTAACCTTGTGTTCCTGACCACTGACTTCAGCAGCCTAGCAGTTCCATTTTGTTTGGGACAGGGTCTCCTTGTACGGCTCTGGCTGGCCTCAGACTCACAGATCCGCCAGCCTCTGCCTCCAGAGTGCTAGGATTAAGGGTGTGTGCCACTAGCTCAGCCAGTTTCTTATTTGTGATTCCTTTGAAGATGCAACAGATTGCTAAAAAAATAAAGCACAGCACGGCATTGCCTGGGTCCTGGAACAATACTGCTGTCCCCTGGGATATTGATTGATGTCCCCCTGGAACAAATAGGAAAGTTTTGGACCACCAGATCTTTTTAAACTTTGTGTATGTGTGTGTACGTACATGCGTGTGTTTGGAAGTCAAAGGACAACTTTGTGGAGTTGGTTCTTTCTGTCCTACCTCTGTGTGTGGTCTTAGGATTGAACTCATGTCTCTAGACTTTTACACACAGAGCTGGATGTGCACACTGAGCGATATAGGTACTGCCTCTTTTGTGGGAAGGCTCTCTTCCCACATGTCAGGCTCACAGGCACCCTGCCCCTCCCACCAGGCCACTGAGAACCCTGCTCACCATGGTGGCAGAAGGGACTTGGCCTTCCATGGGCTTCTTGAGAAGCTGTCCTTGATGATGTCCTTGCATAGTATAGGACTGACTGATGGCCGCTGGGACTGTTAGCCTGTGCCAGAGGCACGCTCTGAGGGCTTGGAGCAGTGAGCCCTAAAGTCGCCTTCTTCTTGGTGGTGGCCACCCTGTTGGCCAGATGCCTCCTTCGTCATCCAAGAAATGGAAAGGGTCTGCATGAACACAACAGGGTCCCCCACACACACACCTGAGGCCTGTGATCACCCCAAACTCCCACCCACCACACCGAACTCTTCAGAAGGGAAAAAATGCAGAGTGTCAAGCACAGCCTTCTCCCTGGGGACATCACCCTCCAAGACACCTTCAAGCTGAGCTGAGAGTTGATTCTCTTCCCAGGAACCAGTGGCCAGAGCATCCTCCGCTCATCACCCTCCTGCCCCAAAGAGTACTATGCAGAGACTTCTGTTAGCCTGAAGGCCTCCCCTCCTCTCCTACCTTGGACTGTGGGCCTCACCGTTTCCTAAGCTTTTAGACCCCAAACACCTTTCACTGCTGAGAGTCAGTTCAAGGGATTATTAAGCATAGGCTCCCAGCGGATAACTCAGTGGCAGGCTCTTGGGACACGGATGGACACACACACACACACACACACGGCCCTACAATCCATCCCCAGCACTGCCATAGGGGAAGGGGGGTTCTCGTGGGACTGCCTGCTTGAGGCCTTCCTGAGTCACATCACCTGCCCGAGCCTTAGTTTCTTCATCTCGCCCCAGGGTATCTGAGAACCGTGAGTCACTAGGAATGCCTGCGTCTGATGTGTACATCTGTAAGTGCTTAGTGTCAGCTGCCATAGAGGTCGGGGGTCACCAGGTCCACCCACAGGAGCACCTGCTCAAAGCTTCCGTTCCACCTTTCCCAGATCCTCACAGCTCAATTGGCTTGGGTCTGCACGCTCATCTCTATGCCTTTGTCTAGTCCTAGGCTGGCTGTTTGGTTTTGGATAATCAAATGGCTTCAGGAGGATTTCTGAGATTCTTCAGCTGAGCTAAGAAAGTGCTCTTATAAACAGCATGTCATGAGGCCATGTAACAGGCATCGGCTAGCTCTGCCTCCATCCCAGGCACTGTGCTGTGAGCCTCAGATATCAGCTCAGTAGTCCTCGTGGCCTAGGTATTTTTATTAGCCTATTCACTGGGGTTGAAAAACAAGTTCCAGGAAGGTTACGAGACAGAACAGGGCCACACAGTGGAGACAGGAAAGCCAAGGCTGATCTCTGTCTCGGTTGTGATCCCGGGCTAGGCCAAGCCACTGACCCTAGTGACCGCAGAGCTCAGGCAAGGCTGAGTGCCCATTGTAGCCAGATGGTGGCTGCCCCCTGAGGAAATGCTTTCCCTAGGTCAGGCACTAGACATCAGGGTTTGACGTGGAGGCGCCCTGCTGTTCTGCAGAGCAGTGGGGATAGCCTGAGCAGCAGGGCATGGATGGGGCCTATGTGTCTGTCCCTGCTTAGCACATGTCTGGAAGTCTCCTACTGTCTATTTTAAGATCCTTTGTGTTAGTGACCAGGGCTTTTTTCTTTATTTGGTTGTTGTCCCAGTTGTGGTTACCATTGCTATGATGAAACACCATGACCAAAGCAACTTGGGGAAGAAAGGGTTTATTTAGTTTATGCCCTCACATCACAGCTCACCATGAAAGGAAGTCAGGGCAGGAACTCAATTAGGGCAGGCATCTGGCGTGGGAGCTGGTGCAGAGGCCATGGAGGGGTGCTGCTTACAGGTTTGCTTCTCATGGCTTGCTCAGCCTACTTACTTATAGAACCCAGGACCACCAACCTGGGAGTGGCACCATCCGAAATGAGCAGGGACCACCTCCATCAATGTCTGATTAAGAAAATGCCCTACAGGCTGGCGCACAGCCCAGTCTTATGGAGGCATTTGCTCAATTGAAGCTCCCTCCTCCCATGACTGTAGTCAGCAGAGCCAAGTTTGTGTCGACTTGTACGCTTGTCTTGTTTTGAGACAGGGTCTCGCTTTGTAGCCCCAACTCTCCTGTAAAGCAGATTGGGCTGAAATTCACAGAGATGCTCCTACCCCAAGTGCTGGGGTTAGAGGTATACACCACCACACAGAGAATTTTCTGTGCTTTTTAAATTGAGATTAAAACCCACGTATGTAAAATTAGCTATTTTTAAATAGTTTTCTAAAAGAAATTATTTTTATTGCCTGTGTATGAGTGTTTTGCCTGCGAGTATGTCTGCACATGCGCGCTGTGCCTGCAGAGGTCAGAAGAGGGCATCAGATCCCGTGTGGGGGTGCTGGCAGCCAAGCCCAGGCCCTCTGTAAGAGCAGCCAGTGCTCTTACCTGCTCAGCCATCTGTCCAGCTCCTAAAGAGAACAACTTAGTAGCAACTGTCACACTCCCGATGTTACACAGACACACTTCTACCTAGTTCCAAAACAATTTCCTCCCCCTGTTCCCATGAGCATTCAGTCCCCATTCCTCTCACCAGCCCCTGGCCATCTCGGGTCTACCCTCCTTCTGAGTGGACTTACACTGTGCTGGGCGTTTTATATAAGTGGGATCTTTGACACTTAGGTCCCCATCTGATGCCTGTCACCCAGCGCTATGCATGGAAGAACTCCATTTCTTCTCCATGTGGATGAACTAGTTTGTCCATTTGTCTACCGATGGCTATTTAAAGGCTGTCTGGAACCTTTGGTCACTGGGAAAGTGCTAGAGTTACCATTGGCATCCAGGGGTCTCTTTGAGTACCCCTTTTTAACCCCTAATAGACTATTCTGTCTGGACCCTAAGGTAGTCTGTGCTTAGCCATTTAAGAAATTTTTTTATATATTTTTGTGTGTGGCGGTCAGAGGTCAGTTTTTAGGAATCATGCTCTCTTTCCACCATGTGGGTCCCAGGGATCAAACTCGGGTCATCAGGCTTGGTAGCGAGAGCTTCAACCTGCTGAGCCATCTCACCAGCCCAGTGTTTAAAGCTTTTGATTCGGTTTTGTTTCCCACTTTGGTTTGAACCCAACCCTCTTCCCAGAACTCAGTACTTACTGACAGCTGGTGTGTACTCTGTTGTGACTGATTTCATCACGAGGTGATGTAGTCTGCATCCTCGTATTCAGGAGCTACACCTCCTCACAGCAAGGCCTGTTTTGTCCCTACCTTGTTGGCCGTTCCAGCAAGTCTAAGACGGAGGCCTGATCAATCCCATTTTGCAGATCTCAAATGGAGGCTCAAGCCGGGTACTCTCCCCAAGTCCACAGGGCTGAGAACTCTCTGGTGGGATTTGCATCTATATCCTCACCTGCAGTCCCTCCTGGGTTCTTCATCAGAGGCCATGGCCCGTAGCTGTATGTGAGGACACATGCCTTTTCCAGAAAGCAGAAAAACGTGTGACGCTGGAGGTGTTTGGGGCAGGGTGGGCCGATGAGGGCTTGAGGCCTGAGAACACGGTGAGAAGCCAGGCTTAGAGTTGGGCAGGAGGAACAGCCAGCATCACCTGCAGGAAAGCCCGGATCACGTGGGATGGGGTGTTACTTGCAAACACCTAGTTCATCACAGCTGGGAAGAGAGAAGTCCATGGCTGCCTGCAGAGCTCAGCCCCACTCCTATAGGCTGCCAGCAAAGATGGCATGATGCTGGGATGCTGGTAGATACCCAAGTGCCCCATTTCTACCCTGCTATATCTGGACCTAATGCTCTCCCCACCTTTGTCTGTTTTCATAAGTCCCTTTTGTGACCCTGGACTGGCCCCTGGTCCTCAGTGAGCCCATTTCCCTGCCTGCTAACATACTGACATCAGCTTCTCCAGTAGTGCTTGGGCACAAACTACCCTGCTTTGTGCACTGGTGCCCCCAGGCCCTGGCAGGCTTGGGCCTTGGTGGTTGATGGCACCTCCTTGCTGAAAGGGTGGGCAGGGTTTATGAGAGGGGTATGCTGTGAATGGTACCTTAGCCTCAGAAGCCTGACCGGCGTATGTGTTGACAGCTGGACAAGATCGAGGGCGTGTTTGAAAGACCGAGTGATGAGGTTATCCGAGAACTGTCCCGGGCCCTTCGGCAGGCGCTGGGAGTGTCACTTTTTGGAATCGACATCATCATTAACAACCAGACTGGGCAGCATGCGGTCATTGATGTCAACGCCTTCCCAGGTGAGCAGCAGGGCTGGGTCGGAATGGCTGAGTCCCTCGTTATTCTGGGGTCTAAGACAAGTACCGCCCCATGCAGCCTCTTAGAGAGCAATGAGACTCCACATATCTAGCTGTGGGGAGGCGCCACACCCAAGCACCCCACAGCACTGTATGCTCCTCCCCCCATCTCTCAATCCTGCTACCAGCCTTGGCCCTCACTGGCCTAATCAGTCCACCCCACTGGCTCTCCAGACCCAAGTTGCTAAAAGTAACTTGGAAAAGACTCAGCGTCTATCATTCACAGGTATCGAGACTGATCCCCCCTCCCCCACCGGTGGCAGCATTTTTCTGAGGTCACATAGCATGAAATGGCAGGGCCAGACCCTCCCAGGCAAGTGCTGCTTCCACTGTCCTGAGCTGCAAGGCTGAGGCCCAGGCCCTGCCTCAGCATTCCCACTATAGTGTCTGCTGTCACACAGATCCCCACACTCCATCCTGTCCCTGCTCCCTGCTGGAGCCTGGAGATGCTTCTGGCTTGGAGCCTGACTGCTGAACACCCCTGGTCTCCACTCAGCCATAGACCCTGGGGATCGCCACCAGCCGAGGCCTAGCCTGGAGTCGTTGGGCCGGCAGGAAGAGCAGGTAGAATGTGCAGAGCAATGCTCACAGGCTTCTCACCCCCTGCAGGCCCTAAGGCCAGTGGTCTGTGCATCATCTCTGGAGTTGAGAGGCTGAGGCAGGATTGCCATGAGTTTTGAGCCATTGTAGCTAAGTAACAAGACCCTGTCCCAGAAACCTGGGGTGGAGTGGGTGATCAGATGAAGAAGAGGCAGAGGCCTGCTTTGAGTCTCCATGCCCGCCACCCCAGCAGGGCCTTGTGTTTCTCCAGACCCAGGTATCCCTGCCTCTGGCTGGCCCTAAGCTCCCTCCTCATACCCACTCCCACCCCTTCCAGCCTCCTGAGTAGCTGTAATAATGCTCATCACTCCTGGGCATTCTTCATTCTCTTGATGTGGAAGGAGAACAGGCTACCCCCACTCAGGGGCGTGAGTGGCCAGGAAGCCACCTCACCAGGCCCCAGGCATGCTGGGTACTCAGTGCCTATATCCCCTTAACTTCCCAGAGAGTACATAAGCTCCTCCATAGCATCACAGTTTGAAGCAGAAAGCCAGGGACCCCAAAGAGCCCGCCAGCCTCCATCTGTCAGTCATTGACATCTGCCAGGAGCTATATGTCCTGTTCTCAGAGCCCACAGCACAATTGGGAGGAGGCAGAGGATGGGGGTGGGGCAGCTGGGGTACCAGGAGGTGTGAAGTGGGACTAGACAGGGTCAGAAGGGAGCCTCTGAGGCCTGACGGGGACTTGGGCAAGATGGGAGCATCCTCTGTCTGTGGCTTGTGCCTGATCCAGCTCAGACCCAGCTCATTGAGTTTCCCGGCCCCCCTGGTGTAGGTGGTGGGGCCTTTGAGGTCACCAGAGTGTACAGTGAGAGGATTGCTGTGTCTGAGGAGTGTCATAAAGATGAAACAGATGTGGCGTGATCCAAGAGTATAGCCCACTAATGGTTTGAGGGTGCCTTAGAGCCACTGAGAAAGCCTTGAAAGAAGGGGGACAGACCCTTCCACTGGTGATGGGCAGGCTCTCCCAACAGCCAAATGCATCGCAAAGGCAGGAGGGGCTCTTGTGTGATCAGGGAGACCGTCACCAAGAGCCAGTGTGAACCTAGACTCTGTTGCCAGGGGAGCCAAGCGCTGGGCTGTCCCAGTGGATTGGGGCACAGAGGTGGGTCTGTGGCTGCCAGATTGGTAAGGCTGAGCCCAGCCAAAGCAGGTGAGCCTGATGCCCAAGGGATGGCCTAAGGGTTCTATTGTCCCTGGGGCCTCAGGCAGAGGGGGTGGGGTCTGGGGGGTGACCTGGCACACCCGTTGGTGGTTCCTGACAGATGTAAAGGCTTCCTGCTGCTACTCAGGAAGCCTGTGAGGCGTTGGGGTAGGCAGAGCACCCAGCTTTAGAGATCAGGAAGCCTGAGCAGCAGAAGCAGCATATGTTACTAACCCTGCCTTGTGCTGTGGTATGGGAAGGACCACTGTGACCTCCACTTGCCTGTGAGAGGGGATACAGGGAGCTAAAGGACTTTATTCAGGGTTTCAGTCCCAGAAAAGTCCAGAGCCTTCGCTAAGACTCTCAGACCTGTGATAGCTTAGAACACTGGGGTTCCCACCTCGCATCAGCCCCTACTTTCACTTCTGTACGAATGGCAGCGTTCCGTGCTGCAGACAGATGGGTTTGCAGGGTGGAGCTGGTATCCCTCCCCCCCCCCCCCCCGCTAGTTTTCTCCTCCCAAGCTGACAAACACCAACCTACCTCAGCCTGTTTACTGCAGGCCCTGCAGGTGACTCTGATATACTCTGGGAAGTTTTCCCTCCCTCTCTGCTCTTGTCTACATGGTCCTCTGGGCCTCATCTAGGAGCTAAAGCAGAGTGGTTACTGGGGAGCAACCTTCTGGGTTTCTTGGCAACCCAACTGGGTCCTGGAGCTCCGCCCCTCCCTGCATTGCACTTAGACCTGTGTCTGCCTTGCCCTTCACTCTTTCCCAGGGCTGTCAGGATATTGGGTCCTGCATGGGGCCTCTCAGTACCAGATGTTGAAGACGTACGCAGGACCAGAGAATCTGGGTTAGATCACAGGTCTATTACGTAGGAGCTTTGTGACCCTCAAGGGCACTCAAGGAGCCCTCAAAGTCCCCTGTAAGATGGGCTAAGGCTGTAGCAACAGGCCAAGGGACATGCAGCTCACAGCCCAGTGGTTGGCACCTCTGACACGCTGGGAACGCCAGCACGGTGCCATCCCCGTCTTCTCCGTCGTGGCTGGCTTCCCTCCATATGTATACTGGGGACAGAGTTGTGAAGATGGCATTGGCATTGGCAGTGGGGTGCTGCTTGCCAGCCGCTTTTTGTTAGCTTTAACATTTGCGCCCTTGCTTGTCAGACAGCCTCAGGCTTCCTCAAAACCACAGGGTAGTTTGCCAAATGACACAAGGTGGCCCAGTGGCCTGGACCCCACAACAGTGCCTCCTCAGCTTGTGCCAGTAGTATGAATGTCCCTGGAACACATGCCAAGGTTTTATTAACCTCTTGGTACTCACTTGGTTACACTGTGGCATGATTATGGTCATAGCCAGGATCTTAAGGGCCGCCTCTCACCCCAGAAAAAAAAAGCTGGCAGGCTCCCCAGCCCCAGCCCATTCTGGTAGCCATGTACCGGTTCTAGTCCAGGCACATCAGTCTAAGTAGATGGCGGTGTGTGTGAGCGCGCATGAGCGTGGGTAAAGTGCTCTCCCTGTAGGTATTCACCAGCAGTTTTATGCCAGGCATGGAGGCCTGGGCGGTCTGTTCCTAGGTGCTGATCCTCAGAGCCTGGGGTACAGATAGCCTCCCCGAAGGTGTTTTGGGGAGAGAGGAAGAGAGAGAACAGATTTGGTTTGGGCTGCGGCTGCTGGGTCAGACTCCCCCAGTTTTCAGCCCTCCTGTGATACTCACAGGAGCCTGAGCTGTGACGGCTGGTCTCCTTTCGCTGTGTGGACAAGAACGCTGAAGCTCAGGATGGATACAGTGGCCAGGACCCAGGTCTGAGGCGAGACTCGGTGTGTTAGGGAGGGAGTGCGTGAGGAATACGCCTTGGCCGGCTCTTGACTGTACATCTTGATATTGGGTTGTTATGTCCCTGGCATTCTGTTACTGTAACAAAACACCGGAGACAACAGCACACAGAGGAAAGGTTATTTGGGTTCTGAAGGTTTCGATCCATGCTGATTTCGCCCCATCGATTTGAGCTAATGGCAGGGCACTGGCAGCTGAAGCTAGCTGCCTAGCAGGAAAGGGGTTGTGTCTGACATGACTGAACATCTCCTTCTCACCACCTCCTTGAGCTGAGGACTAGCATTTAACACCCAGGCTCTGGAAAGCACACTGCTGGCCCAAACCACAGCACCGGGTGAGCCAGGCCAGTACCAGACAAAAATAAGATTCATCCGTATCTGCTGGAGCTGTAGGACTTACCACACTCAGGGGACAGACAGCGGTCAGGGGCCAGCCTGTGTGTGGACCATATGCACCAGGCCCCGTGACTCCCACCAACCCTGCCTTGTGTGCAGAGCCTGAGTTTCCCTTGTGAATGGTGTACCGAAAGCGCCTCCCCAGATCCCAGGAGCCGATTACTTCTGCATCTTTCTCCTCTCCTATGCCCTGGCTAATGCCCAGTACGTTCCGTGTTTCCATCTCCAGGCTATGAGGGAGTGAGCGAGTTCTTTACCGACCTCCTGAACCACATTGCCACAGTCCTGCAAGGCCAGAGCACAGGTGGAGCTGGCGGCACAGAGGAGGTGGCCCCGCTGAGGCACAACAGGCTCCCGGCGGAAGCGGCGGGTAGCCTGGCTGGCGAGCGGACGTGCAGTGCCAGCCCTGGCTGCTGCGGCAGCATGAAGGGCCAGGATACGCCCTGGAAGACTGAGACCGAAACAGGCACCATGGGTGCCGGTGGCTCTACCAAGCTGCCGCACCAGAGACTTGGCTGCACCACTGGTGTGTCACCCAGCTTCCAGCAGCACTGTGTCGCCTCCCTGGCCACCAAGGCCTCCTCACAGTAGCCACAGAGCCCAGGACCCAGAGGGGCGGTGCAGAGCCTGGGACACACCTGCTGGGCCAGCAGCTCCAAACAGGAACACTAATAAGAATTCCCAGTGATCTGATGCTTCTCTGTTTTAATTTTTTTTACCTGATTTTTCTGATGTTATGATCGGAATGAGGCGGGGAGCAGAACGCCAAGTGGTCCAGCCTGGAGGATACCGCCTAACTCCTGCTGTGCACATCTCCTCACTGAGTTTACACACGCTTGTGTTCTCAACACTAGGTCTGAATGTAAGGTGGGGTGCGTGCATGTGTGTGTGGTTGTCATGCAGGTGTGTGTGTGTCTGTCTGTCTGTCTGTCTGTCTGTCTGTCTGTCTGTCTTCATGGCTGCTGTGGGCCAGGCTCTGGGCACTCTGGAAGGAGGCCCATATCTGGCCAGGCTGTTGCAGCTAAGTAGGCGAAAGTTTCTCTCCTCCACACCTGCCCACACCCAGACCTCACCCCCTCCCTCTTTGCCCAGGTGTGGTCTCCTTCAAAGCTAACCCTTGCCCCTGTGCAGCTGACCCTTGCTTCTCCAAAGCCATGGAAGCAGCAGACCCTTTGGGGAGCTCTATATGGGGGATCTGGGTTGTAGGAAGGGAAAAGAAGTTTCCTGTGGGGGTAGCCAAAGGCCCTGGCTATTGCTAGTCTTCACTGACTCCATGGAATATACCAGGCCACTGTCCTCTCCACCCTGTCCCTGTTGCTCACCAGGACCGGGAGGGAGGTCGCCTGGCTAGGAGTCCCAGAGTCTGCCAGGACCCAAGATTGTTGCTGGGACTTTGAACAAATCATTCCACGAGTCTTCAGGCCTCCACCTCCTCATCTCTTCCGAGTGGCAGAGACAGAACTGAAGGCCTGCCCCCGTGTTCTAGCCCACACGGATACCTGCTTCTTTGTGCCAACAGCTGGAGCCCTCTTTCCAGGTGAGAGAGCAGGCCTGCGCCTGCTCACACACGCCAGCCCCTCCTGGTGCAGCAAGGCCCGGCGCAGCCCTGCTGTGTTTGTGGCAAGTCACTTTCACTTCAGACTCACGGTGTCCCCGAAGCAGCTGGTAGACCACCCACTGGCCCCAGAGCCCACAGGAAAGGACACCACCGGTGGAGCCCTGGATGAGCAGCCCGGGACCCCCCAAGGGTGATCTCGTGTCTTAAGATACCAGTTCACTTTGCAAAGAGAATGAGACCTTCGGATTGTCCCAAGGTCCATTATGATGAAAGACACTCGAGGAAGCACCCAGCAGCCCTGGGAAGGCCACTAAGTGCAGCCATGGTGGGGCACCTTTTGGGCAAGGAGAAGCTGGTTGGCTTTCTTGGAAACAGAACCCCAGGACTAACCACGTTTCCAGGACCTGAGTGTTGACCCTGATGATATCTGTACGTCGCCTTCCCAGGCCTGACCCTGAATACAGGGGGTGGGAGGCGTGGCCGGCTCTTGCACTGCTTTATCTCCGGAATAAACTACTGAGATCAAACTGCATTTCACACGTGGTCACAGTCTTTAAAAGAAAGACGTTTAATAAGACAGCTGTGCCTTTTTGGTATAGAATTCCCAGTCTCTGCCTTGAGAACAGGCACGGTGTGGCAGGGTAGGCGGTGTCCCATCCCCTGGAGCTCCTTCCTCCCCGGGGTCACACCCGGTAAACCAGGCCCGGGGATCAAGTAACTGCCTCCTGGCGATGCAGCGTTTTCTACAGGTCTCCATGCGGGTGTTGAGGGCAGTTGCACTTTCCAGGAGTGGAAACAGGAGCAGAGACCTGGGCCTACACTTCTGCAGAAACGCGATCTTCACAAACATGACATCACAGCACACTAGCTGCTGGTGTCTGTCCTCACCAAAGGAGATGAGTGGGGTCTGCCCTGGGACTAGGGCTTTGTCAATATCACAGGAGAGTTTGCCACACACCATGGGCAGGCTAGCCTCCATAATCGCATCCACCAAATCCTGGGGAATGATTTCGGGGGCCAACCCCAGGAGCCCCATCAGCGGAGGAGAAGCCACCCCAAGCGGACAGTACTCAGGCTGCTGAGTAGGCTCCCCAGCAAGTCAGGACTTGGGGGACTAGGCTGGGGGGGGGGGGCGTCTGGAGAGGTGGCTCGGCAGTTAAGGGTGCTTGCTCTGCCATCCTGAGGACTGGTGGCATTCAGGTCCCAGCACCTGTGTAACAAACCAGGCATCCAGCACTAGAGACAGGGATCGTCAGAGCGTGCTGGCTTCCAGCCTAGCCAAGAAAATATGAGCCTCAGGTTCATGAGAGAGTAATGGAAGCACATACCCTAGCCCTTTTTTGAGCATTTACAGGTGCCATACACACACACACACACACACACACACACACACACACAACTTGTTTTTTAATGCCACAGCAAGAAACAACTGGGTTTTTAACAACTGGAGCAGGTAGCGACTGCTGGGCAGGCATTCAGTTCTTCTGACTGGTCCTTGTCTCCAGAACATTCACACCGGTTGCCGACTATAGAGCCACTGGATGGCCTTGCTGAGGCCCCGGGAGGGGTTGCTTGCCCTTTTATATTTCCTACAAATCAGTCACTTACATGGTGGGACCCCAACATGCTGTGGCTCCCTGCCCCTGTCACTCCAGAGCCCGCAAGCTAGCCTGAAAGAGCCCTCCTCCTCCAGCCTGGGTAAGCAGGTGGCCTGTGGGAACTCCTGGGGTCCAGGAGCTTATAGTTTGGATAGGCCTATCGTGACCGCTGCTGCCACCATGTTCACCTGCCCTGCCCAGCCAGGTACAACTCAGATGATGGCTCCCAGGTTTCTCCACAGAGCCTCCCCTTCGTGGTAAAGGCCTATGCCCCACCCCCTTTGCTCTGCCAAGCCGGTGCCGGCATGGCCAATGATCTGTGCAGAGAAGGGCTGGACTCCATAGCGCACGGCCTCTTCTGCATGGGACCTCTTCTGCCTGTGTCTGGGAGGTCCCTCCTACACCTCAGAGTCCTTCTCAGAAATGGTTGAGTTTTCTCTGATTCCCAGGTCTAACAGGGCTTGGCGTCTTGGAGGGGCCCCTGCAGGACATACGAGGTGATATTTCCCTGCACAGAAAGCTTACCCAGGGTTTATACGAAGCTCTCTTACTTGAGGAGCTAAGAAGTGTGCATGCCTGAGCTTTGGGATGGCTGCTGTTTGCCACCAAATACACTTGGCCCTGTGCTGTCTACAAAGCAGCGCTCTGTCCTTTGGCTCCCACAGGGCTGCATTTTTGCTCGCTAATGATAACACAATGCAGGTGGCTTGTCTTTGGGATGGGCTCCTTTGGTGACAAGGTGTCCCTCGGTTCTGTTGCCACTTTGTCTTGTGGTGGACAGTTTTGGTCTCTGGTGGCGTAGGGGAGTGAGTGTGATTACATAACTGCTAGGAGCTGTAGCCTGAAGAAAGCTGTGTATCAGCAGTGACCTCGCACAGGGTGTCCCTTGTCCTCAGGTGCAGGCCACAGCAGCAGCAGGAAACCAGGTCTCATGTGAAAAGTTCAGGCCCAAAACCTCCCCAGGTAGTGAATGGGCGATCTGAGGCATGCCGAAGGCAGGGCTTAGACCTTTGGGACCCAGCTCTCAAATACCAGCTGGAGCTCTGGGGTCAGCCCGATCTGGGGTAGCAGCAAAGCCACTGTCCCTCGGTCACAATGCGCATGTTGTTGCTTTTCCTAGCAGGAGATCATCACATAGGCAGACTGCTAAGGGTAAGGCCACGCCCAGGCCCCACTTCATCAGCCCCTGGAAGCCCCTTGCCAGATGGCTTTTAGTTGAGGTGCACGGGCGGAGAACGTGAAAAGATGAAGTTCCTGCCTGAAGCCAAGCCCAGCAGAGCCACACACAAGCCTAACTCATCGGAGGCTGCTTGGCTACAGAAGGATCCAACTTACCCCGAGAGGCAATGGGTTTCCAAAGCCAGGGCTCATCCTGGGTTTTGTGTGCAGGCATACTTGGCCACATACAAATGTTTGGTGAGTGACTGAGTGATTGGCCCTGGTAGACAGGACCCATGGGTCCAGCACCACTTCTGACCTGGCCTGATTACATAACCTATCAAAATTCCTGTGCTTAAAAGTTTGGCCGGGGGGGGCGGGGGGGGGGGCTGGATGGCTCCATGGTGAAGAGCACTATAGCACCTACGTAGTTATTCACAACCATCTGTAACTCCACTTCCAGGTTTGCAGACATGCAGGCAGGCAAATAACACATGAAATAAAATGATTAAATTAGCACAAAACAAAAACCTTCTTTAAAAAAATGTGGGATGTGTCAGCCAGGCTGTGGTGGTACATGCCTTTAACCCCAGCACCTGGGAGGCAGAGGCAAATGGATCTCTGTGAGTTCTAGGCCAGCCTAGTCTTACAGAGCTAGTTCCAAGACCGCTAAGTCTATACAAAGAAGCCCTGTCTTGAAAAACAAGACAAAGCAATACAAAAGAAGTGCTAAGTCAGCTCTACCTGTGCTTTTAATTTCATTTTCCCTGCCTTCATTTCCCTGTTCTCAAAATTGGACCTAAGACCTGTTATTTTCTAGTAAACTGTTCCTGCCCCTCCCACCCCACCCCCACTTCAAATACCCTGTGGTATCATGCAGATCACAAGCCTGTGGTCATGGGCACTGTGGAGAGAAGCCGTGCTGTGCTGGGGCATCCAGCACTGACCTGGTGCCCAGGGCCTGTGGAAGGTATCCTGGGGCCTGTCAGTCTCCACCCGGCACCAAGGTAACTAGGGGACAGTCCACGAGGACAGTGTCGGCAGAAACTGTGCCTGGCTCGGGCATAATTGGGAGATAAGCAAGCAAGAGGTGGGGGAGCCCTGTGTGCTGTCACTCATCCCCACACCCCATTCCAGGCAGTCCATCAGCGCCGTCCACGGAGGAAGCTGAGGTTCAACAACGCAAAGACGCTTGGCCAGGAAATGGCCCAGAAAGGAGTCCCCCAAAACATACACCCAGCCCAGCGTGGAAACTGCCCTGTCCCTCAGCCCCAGTCCTACCCAACTCGGAGTGGAAAGGGAAAGAAAAACATCAAAGAAAAGGAAAGAGCCCAAAGCAAGTTTATTCTCCCTTCAATAAATTTTATCTGGAAAATCTTATAGTCAGGAGTTCTCGGCTTTCGCCCAAAGGTCAGAAGTTATTGCAGATGTGCCCCGTGGATAAGAAGGTGGAAGAGAAACTTCTAGAAAGCTGCCTGTGTTCAGAGAAGGAATCCGTGTTGACAGTCAGGGCTGCCCTGCAGAAGAGCCCAGGGCGGGGGCTGACAACAAGAGGGCGTGAGGGGCAAGAGGGCAACCTGGGCTCTGGCAGCTGGAAGCAACCCTACAAGGAGCAGCATTCAGGCCATGGGACCAGGCTCACAGGGTGCCTTGAAGCCATGGCTGTCCCCACCGCCAGCCAGTGCCTCATCCCCTCCGCAGTGCCTGCAGCTGGCGGGCCACCCTCTCCAGCTCTGCCTCGATGGCTGACAGGCTCTCCAGCTCCTGGTCCTAAGAGGGAACAGGCAGAGTCACTTGAGGCCAGCCCTGACAACTGGCTTTGCCTCTGAGTCCCAGGAGATTTGTCCACGCCAGGCATAATGATATTGGGATGCTCTGGGGACTATTATGCCCAAGGCCCCCATGGCCCATTATCCAGTTCCCATTTCGTCCTATAGGTCTCTGGACCAGTAGGAGCCTGTCCCTTCAGAGTATGTGGTTCCTTTTAGGACCCTTCCTCAGCCTGAATACCAGTGCTGGCTCCCAGGAGACAGCCAGTCTGTCTTGAGCTGTCTCCCCTATGGCCTCTGTACCTTCTGTATGAATAGTCAGAGCAGCATCACCATGGACCTGCCCAGGGGTAGGCTCTGACCTCTGGTCCTCACCCTAGAGGATCCCACACACTGGTCAGGGCAGTCAGGGAAGCAGGAGACCGTTCTCTGAACCTCTAAGTCTCAAACTTCCTGTCCTGACTCCTTGGATTTGGGATTCTAGATCCCTCCATCTGGGGTGTGGGTTCCATACTCTGAAGTTTCTAATAAGACTCGCCTACACCTCGCCCTGTCATAACACCCGGGGTCCCCACTTCTTCACTATAGGTTCCGTTTGTCTGTGAGAAAGAAGCTTCTGTGGGTGGGTAAGGGGATCCTTGACGCTGTCCATCTTGTTCTGGGGCCAGGGCTGGGGTCAGGGAGCACAGTTCAGTTTTCTCATCCTTCCTCCATCTCCAAGAACAGGTGCTCCCCGCCAGTGCCCACTCCTAAGAGGAGCCTATTGCTCTCAGATGTCAGCAGGGCCCTGCTCCAGGTGGAAGACAGGGGTGGGGCCTAAAGAAAGTATTCCCTCCTCTGGGTGAGCAGAAAAGAGCCTTGAGGGCAGGGCTGTGGACAGATCAGGCTCCCCATGGAACCCCAACTCCCTCCGGAGCACTGGCTTAGCCAGGTCCCCCCAAGGCCTCCTCTAGCTCAAGAGGCCTGCTGCCTGCCGAGAAGCCCAGTTCTCACCTTCCCTGGGGTCACGCCCCTGTTTCCCTGTACCATCCTTACAGCTGCCCAAGTGGCCCTGTACATATTGAGGTCTTGAAAGTCATGTTCTGATTACGATAATGAGGTGAATTAGAGAGACTTCACACTCCCATTTCCCAAATGGGGGGAACTAAGGAGACTTAGAGGCAGGCAATTACCTGCCCAAAGTCACACAGCCAGGACCAAGTGGGACCCAAGTCTGCTGGCACCTCCATGACTCCCTATTTGCTCACCAAAGTCCAGCTAGCCCTACCGCTGCTATGCCATTGTGAGCTCTATGTGAGTTTGAACCCAGGAAGAGGCACAACTGTGTTGCTTGGGGACCAGGACAGGGCCGCCAACCATACTGTTTTCCTAGGTCCCTTAGTATCCCTCCCCAGTTCCCCGGGCCACAGGTATGCTGAGAGAGCCCCAGGCCAGTCCTGCCAAGCTCTTCATCTGAAGCACATGCCTGACTCCCATCCCTCCCACGTCCTGCTCACACACTAGCAGAGGCAATGTCTCCACTCTATGTCCCTCAGGTAGGTCTGAGGCCTTCAGTCCCAGCCATTCGGTAGCTCTGTTGAACCCCTGGTGTGATCTGGTTGTCCCCCTATCCCAAGACCATCTGAGCCCCAGCTAAGGGAACCACATCACCTCAGTGGGCAAGGGGCTGCTGGGCAAGGTTGCCCCTTGGCTATACCAACCTCTGCTCTGCGATTGGCACTCCCTTCCTCCTCCTTCTTTTCCTCAAAGTCGCCTCGGGCCTCCACACTGTCTTCTCTGGAAGATGGCCTCCAGCCCCGGCGCAGCTGAGGCCCAGGGTCTCTGAAGCCATAGGCCCGGGCCCGGAAGGAGAGCTTCATGGAGCGGTCAGGGTCATCCACCCCCTCCAGCCGCTTCTCCGCTGTCAGCTCCTTAGCCAGCTGGTCCATCCTACTCCATCGCTTGTCCTCCCATTCTCTGGACAGACGCTCTTCGTCCTCCTCCTGCTTATGCTCCAGCTCTTGGCTCTTCCCTCCTGGGAAGAGACCTTGGGGGTCCCCTGCCATTGTCTCTTCCCCGTCTTCTCCCTGCTGAGAGTATTCCGGCTCCCCCTTCCCTTTCGATGACAGAGCTTCAGAGGCCCCAGTCTTTCCACCTCCGTCCACTGCCTGAGACTGACCTGGAGCAGGTGGTGGCAGGAACAGGAAGTGAGGAAGGGCCCCATTCCCCCAGCCCCTGCCACTCCCCCACGGTCCTCTGTGTAGCCACCTCTAAGGCCAAGCTCACCTTTCAGGGTCCAGCTAGCCCCTCCAGAGCAGCCCCACCCAGAGCACAGAGCAATCTCCAAGCCCTGCTTTGCAAGACCTTCCCGAAGCTCAAGGAAGTGAGTTGGCAGAGCACCTCACTGAAGCTCACCCTGTCTTCTCTCCATTTTCCAAGCACCTTCCCCTAAGCCCCCCCTCTTGCCTCCCAGGTGTAGAAGAGTGATTGACACTTGGTTTAGGAGTCAGACGAACTGGACCTGGAACCACGGCTCTTATTACCAATTAGCTGTGTAGCCTTAGGCAAATTATATAACCTCACTATGCCTGTTGCTCCCCTGGACCATGGAGATGATACCCACCTTTCAGGGCCATTATGGAGGTGGCGTGAGGTCCCTTCCCACCCCTCTCCCAGACACATCAGGTGAGGTCCCTGTCACCACACATACCGTCATCTTTCTGGGTCTCCTTGTAGCCAGCCTGAAGGTCGGAGCTGGGTGCTGCAGTGGGCACTCCTTCAAGGCCAGCCTTATCTCTAGCCTCTTCTTCCTCTTCCTCCTCCTGCTTGGCTTTTCCGGCTGGCTGCTGGGCACTCGGGCCTCTTTCACTGTCCCCTGTGGCCTGTGGGTCCACATGCTCCTGGCTGGGGAGGGTGGCTGGCGGCTGGGTAGTGGTGACCGTGTCCTCCCCAAGGGACTGAGTGTCCCCCATCATAGAAGACTCCTGCTCTGGGAAAGCCTGAGGCCTGGGCCGCTCCGTGGTTCCCTCAGGGCCGTCCTGTTGTACCTCATCAGAATCCTCTCTCTTCTCCACAGTGTCCTTGGAGGGGGCTTCTGCTTCCTCGTCTACAAACACAAAAGGACAGAGTCGAGCTGAGGAGGACCCCGCTGCCCTCTGGGACTCCTGGTGCCAAGTTCACACCTTGACTTCCAGGAAGCCCACCCCAGGAGAAGGGTGGGGGTCACCCTTTCATATGGGAGTCTGAGCTGAGGACAATTGAACTGGGCTTCTTTAATTCTGCTTCTTCTCAAAACCTATGCGATTCTTGAAAGAAAAAAAAAATGGAACCCCAAATAAAGATTACCACAGTTGAAAACAACCCCAGAAGATAAAGCTTTGGACTTTAAGATAGCGGCTGGACGGCTGTGTGACCTGGGGTAAGTCAGTTCACCTTCCTGTGCTCGGGGCGATCCCTGCATGTCTGCGTACAGCTTCTGCCTTGAGCGTTGGGATTAGTGCTCACGGGGCTGTCTTTCCTGAGGACAGCCTTTTAAGAGCAAAACTCGCCTCTTTCTGGACTGACTGGCTGAAAAAGCACCACCGGGCACTGCCTGCTTTAGCAGGGCTTCGGGGTGCCCAGTCCACAGAATCTCAGAATCATGTTCAGAAAGGCAGGACCCCTGTCACTGCTCAGACTCCGGAGGCTTGCCTTGTCATGCCTCCAAAGGCCATGTTCAGGGTCTCTTTGCATTAAAGCCTCCAGTTGAGTACACACACGCACACGCACACACACACACACACACACACACACACACACACACACACACATGCACACGCGCACAAACGCGCACACACACGCACACACACACGCGCACAAACGCGCACACACTCGCACACACATGCACACTATTACCTCCTCACAGCACCGCAGTGATCTAACGGTACACAGGAGTCTGTGCAGCATAACACGCAGCTACCGGGGTGACGGGGCAGCTGATGTGGAGGTGCCTGCTACCCCCATATGTGCCCCTGTTTGGCCCAGAGGATGACCATGGACCGACAGCTGGCACCTGCGCTGTCTGTCCACTTTGGACATAAAAACCCCAGTTCACAGTTTGCTGTTCTTCCAGGGTAAGAAGCTGGGCGACGCTGCTCAGGAATGACCTTGATAGCTTCAAGGCCAATGGCCCAGATTGTTTTGTATTTAGAACCCACTCCTCTGGATCCTCCTTCAGTACCATAAGATGGCACCAAGCTCCAGAAGGACAGGAGCAGGAGATACGGGCCGTGTGGCAGGGGCCATGAGGTTTGTCCAGAGTCACTGCTGCCTCTGGAGCAAGGGGCTATTATGGGGACAAGCCAAGGGCGTTTGATTGCCAAGGGACTTACTCTCCTGGGCCTCAGGTTTCCCACGTGTAAGGGGACAGGGATGGTAGCTGCCTTCCTGCTCTGAAGAAGCAGTGCCCCCTGGGGGCCTCTGTTCTCTTTGCAGCCCCCCTTCCCATCTTGGTGGGGCCACACTGACCTCGGAGCTTGGCCTCAGGGTTCTGGTGCTCAAACACTTCCGAGAGCTCTTCCGCGAAGCTGCTGTGTTGCTGCTGCTGCTGCTGCTTCGGAGGCTCCTGGGCCCGCTCCTTGGCACCTGGTGGGAGGGGACAAAGGAAGGTCCCATGTGGTAGAGCCCTGACTTATCTGTCCATGACACCAAAGGCCTCCCTCGAGGGTCCAGGCTCTTAGCTGGAGCTCATCAGGCCACACCATCCCTCTGAATCAGTGTCCCCGGTGGGAAATGAAAGTTCTTGTGCCTTAGAGAGCAATAAAGACCTAAATGGAACAGACAGGAACAGTGAGGGACCCTCAGGACCCAGGACCCTACAGCAACCCTGGACTCCTCATGGGTGCTCTTTATTCAAGCAACCCCTACTGCTCTGAAACCCCAAGTCTGGTGCCAGGAGAAGGTGGGTGCTACGCCAACCTTCAAACCCAGGGCTGTACCTACCCCATGGTCCAGAGTCCCTCTGCCTGCAGCAGCCCCTGCTGCCACTGCTGCTGTCTTGAGTGTCGTGTCCTGCCACTCTGTCTGCCTCAGGACACAGCTCTGCAGCTGTGGGTTCACTATAGGCGGCTAGGACGTGTGCCCAACCCAGCTACAGTGGGCTCCAGGCCTTTCCCGGCCATGCCCATGTGACCTTGGGCAACATGGGCTCCCCAAGGCTCAGGTGCTCATTTATAAGCAGACTTGTGGGAGATGTTAAGGCAGAGGTCCCTGTGCAAGGATATTACACAGAACCCAGGAGGGAATAGAGTGCCGGGCGAAGATGGCTGAAGACACACCCAGTGCCCTCACAATGAAAAACAGCCCCCTGTGCACTGGATGCTGGCTATTATTAGATACACATGTGTGAGGACAAAGGGTAAGGTGCATTCCTTCCTAATAGTCTCTGTTGAAATACTTAATTATTTAAATGGAATACCCGTCCGATACTGACCTTTACATGTGTCATTAACCTATCTAATGTTTTGCTAAAAAGCACCACCCTGGAGACTGGAATTCCTGAGCTCCAGCCCTGCTTCAACCCTGGCTACCCCCTGAGGAAAGAGGCCACGCTTACGGGGCCAAACCTGGCATGGGGTTGGGATGGGGGTCAGCGGCACATGCCTGCAATCCTAGGACTCAAAAGGCTGAGGCAGGAGGACTGCAGATTCAAGCACAGTGTGGGCTATGCAATGAGATCCTGTTTCAAAACAAACACAAAGCCAGGACAAAACTGATTATCACAACCCCAGCACCACCCATCAGCCCCTGTATGCCAGGGCATACCACGAATAGGCCATGGATTTGGGGGCTTGGGTTTCAGTTGGTGGAGTGCTTGCCCAGCATGCATGAAACCTTGGGTTCCATTTTCAGGACCGCATAAAACAGTGTGGTTGCCCAGCACTCTGGAGCTGAAGGGTTGGAGGACCTAAAGTTCAAGGACATCCTCAGGTACACAGTAAGTTTCAAGGCAGCCTGGGTTGCATAAGAGACCCTGTCTCAAAAGTAAATAAAGGAAACACGGAGGTTGGTGTTTATTGCCAAGACAGACCAGCCGGTAAGAGAAAAGGGGCAAGCAGAGGTGCTGGGGTTAGTTTTGCTTGCCTTTCCCCAAAAATCTGTCTCTGTTTTCATATACAGCCTCAGGATGGCCTAGGTTTGAGCTGGGTAAAGGTGAGAGATTCGTGCACAAGGCCCTGTGGTCCTCTCCCACAAGCAGGGCAGCTTTCCTCAAGAGGCAGTGAGGGCAGAAGTGGGCCTGTGACACAGGAGTTCCAGGTCTCCAGGGTGGCGCTTCACCCTCCCTCAAACCAGGAAGTAGCTGGGGTCGGGGAGGTGAGATAAAAACCTAACTCTCCATGTTGGCCCGACGTCCAGCAAGCAAATCCTCAATGCTGTGAGCCCTCGGCCTCACACTCCTGTCTGAAAAGTGTCTGCGATCTTCCTTCCTTCCTTCCTTCCTTCCTTCCTTCCTTCCTTCCTTCCTTCCTTCCTTCCTTCCTTCCTTTCTTTCTTTCTTTCTTTCTTTCTTTCTTTCTTTCCTTCTTTTTTGGCTTCTCGAGACAGGGTTTCTCTGTGTAGCCTTGGCTGTCCTAGAACTCACTCTGTAGACCAGGATGGCCTCGAACTCACAGATGTCCACCTGCCTCTGCCTCTAAAATGCTGGGATTAAAAGCGTGCACCATTGTCTGTCTGTGGATTTTCTTAATCCAGTGGGAAAAGTCGCCTCTCAGTCTAAAACACACCATGAGTCTGGTCTGTGTTTAGAGGCAAACAAGACCTTGCCTCCCCCATTCTCCAGAGAGCAAAAAGTCACAAGGAGGTGAGAGCCTTCTCTTCTTGTGGACTCCTCCTGGCATGCCTGCATGACTGCCCCCTGAAGGCCAAGGAGTGTCAACAGAGCTCTTTCTGCTCTTAACAAGGCGTGCTCACTGTGTGACCTTGGGGAAATCACTGCACCTCTCTGAGCCTCGATCTCTTCAGTTTAGACAGTGGGGCCAGGCACGGAGGACCTTTCTGCTCTGGAAGTGAGTATGCTCAACCCCCAACCCCAGTTCTCTCACTCTCTGTTGCTGGCTTTCTCCTGGAAGTGTGTGCAGTGCTGAAATACCTTGGAGAGCCAGGTCTTGGAGTTCCTTCAGCAGATTCTGGTGTCGCAGGATGGAAAGGATCCTCTCATCTGTGGAAAGAAAGCCCGGTTATGGGTGGCTTCCAGAGGACAACCCTGGGCAGGGGGCGTGGACACTTTCAGATGAGCTCCAGTGTTTATTCTGGGAACTCGGCACCAGGAGGCGGTGGCCAAGCCTGGAGCTTGGTAGAATACTTTGGAAATGAGATCCTTATTTCTAAGATGTCAGTCACCTTCCTACTGCAGTGGAAAGGTCACCAGCTGACTCCATGCCCAGCCCCTAAGAAAGGGCTTCGGACCTCGGACTCCAGTGCATGTGTAAATGATTGCCGCTTCCACGCTGCCTGTCCTGTCTGTTCCTTCTTCCTCGTTTTCTACATGCATGCTCCAGCCCAGTTCATTCTGCCCAGGATTCTAACTACCATCTGTCCCCTCCGAGAGTCTTCAAGCCTCAGGGTCCCCTGAGCAGTCACTTCTCCGTGTGTTCCCCAGATTCCAGCACTGACCAGGGTACGAGGCACTGACTACTGGATGAGATGGTTAAACCTGGGAGGGGCCGCCCGCCCACATCCTGGTCCCCCCGTCCCTCCTAGCCTCTGGCTCCTACCTCCTTGGAGGGTCTCCAGACATTCCGGGCTGACAGGCATCGGGCTGGGCTTGGACAGCGAGTCAGAGATGACCTCCACGACACACTTCATCACCTGGGAGACAGCAAGGCGGGCTGTGGCTGGTGTGAATATGGAACTCAGCCCCCAAGGTGCCGGGGCAACTTTCCCAGGAGGGCAGAAAAGCATTTGTGTCATCTGCAAGGGGTCACGGGGCTCAGATCTGCTTCCTTAGCCAGACTACAGATCCATGGAAACAGAACACACACACACACACACACACACACACACACACACACACACACACACTGCTTACTTTGGGCCAGTCCAATTACATGGGCGTATCAGTGTGTGCCTCAAGGGGACCACTGTTGAGGGAGGGGTGGTTCTCCAAGATGGTGCTGCCTCTGAGACCTAAGAGGACCTCTTGCAAAGGGCTGGGGTCCAGCAGATGCCAAAGGACCAGCTCCTCCAGGCTGCCCAGTGAGGAACACAAAACCGCCTGGGCTCACGCTTGCCAGAAACAGGACCACATCCCCATTCTGCAGCCACACTGTATGTTTCCACATCATCCCATGGGAAGAATCCCCTGGCTAGATGTGGGATACCAACTAGTTATATCTGGATGCTCATTCCAGACCAACAAGACATCTCTCTGAATGTTTTATCCAGCCCCAGTGAGGTGGAGCAGGCAGCGAAGCACCCAGCAGATGAATGATTCCTGAAGATGGTGCTCACGGTTGCTGTGTGATTTTAAGCAAGTGACTTAGTCTTTCTGAGCCTTCAACAACTCATCTGTAAAGCGGGAGTGAGAATGTCTACCCAAAGGAAGACACTCTATCCAGCGTGCGGTGGAGGGGGTGGGGACTGCGGCATCAGTCCTACTCCCACAGCCTGCAGCTGGGTGGAGGAGCAGAAGGTGCTAGACATGTGTCAGGCAACCCAGGCAGGGAGTGAAGGTGTGGGAGGCTGTGTCTATCCAATCCATGGTTCCAGGATAGCACGCTGGCAAAGGCTGTCAGGGTGTGTAGTCATAACAACACCAGAGAGAGCATTCAGGCCTTCCCCAGCGGCTGGTGACCAGACCCATGCTGCCATACTCTTGGGAGTGGATCTGACAAGCAGCTTCTAGAAGCAGGTACCCTCTCTGCCCAACCCCAGACTTTGTACAGCGAATACCTGGCAACCACCATCCTTTGAGCCTCTGAGAGGAAACAGGAGTTGGGCAGGGACCTTAAGAATGCTGGGGATGTGGGTGTTGTGCATGTCTTTAATACCAGCACTAGGGAGGCAGAGGCAGGTGGGTTTCTCTGAGTTCAAGGCCAACCTAATCTACATGAGTTTCAGGACAGCCAGAGGGCTACATAGAGAAACCCTAGCCCAAAAAGAAGGAAGGAAGGAAGGAAGGAAGGAAGGAAGGAAGGAAGGAAGGAAGGAAGGAAGGAAGGAAGAAAGGAAGGAAGGAAGGAAGGAAAGAATGAAAGAAAAAGAAAAAACACAAACGAAAGAAAAAAGGATACCCAGGAAATAAAAAGGAAGGCTCAGCTGGGCAAAGGCAATGCACATTTTTAGTCCCAGCACTTGGGAGGCAAAGGGAGACAGACCTCTGCGAGTTTGAGGCCAGCTTGGTCTACAGAGCAGGTTCCAGGACAGCCCAGGGATATACAAAGAAACCCTGTCTTGCAAAACAAAAAAAGGGGGAGGCTCTAGAAATAACAGTGAAAAGAGCCCACTGAGTGCCTGGGTCTTCACCCCATGAATCCTACTCTTTCATTATAGGGATAAAGGGACACTTTATCCCTTTGAAGTAATTGGATTTATCCCTAGAGAAATTGAATTGTCCAAGGTTGCACAGCTAGAATGAGTGGTGAAAACTTAAACCCTGGCCCATGTACACTTAACAACAAATAAGTGGCGACACCAGGCCACGACACCTTTGACACCAGGCCGTGGCCTCCCACAGAAGACGGCCTTCGGAACATGGAGAACAGGACTCTCTGATGCTCGGGTGAAGAACATTCCCTGGTTCTGATGTGAACAGAGTCTGTGCCTTCGATACGGCTTCTATCTTACTGCCAGAGGAAGCCCCGGGCAGAGGGTAGGGGAAGAGGGGAAGCCCCAGCCAGCAGGTCTGCGGACACCTATGACAGGAGAAGCCATGGTCCCAGCTCAGAGCAGTCCAGGGTCCCAGGACCCAGCAGGTGAGACACGGGCCCCTTGGGAAGTCACTGTAGCTGGACAGCAGGGGAAGCTAGAGACCTTTGATGTCTTCTTGTGTAAGCTGTCCCCAGCTCAGCCGCTGCAGTGCTGGCTTTTGGCTCTACGCCAGACTTCTTCCTGCAGCTGCCTGAAGACTGGCCATGAGGTGTCCACCGGGCATCCTCCCTCTCCCAGGGCACCCAACATTCCTTCTTACCTTGGTGTCCCCTTTTGTCATGGGGCTGTTCACAGGCAGGGCAAAGACTAGAGAGAGAGAGAGAGACTGAGTGAATGGGTGAGTGAGTCTGAGATTGCTGACTGGGGCTATCCCTCTGCACCCAGGGAAGGGAAGCCCAGTCCTTCCCTACAGGGGGCTAAAGAAACCCACTCACCCAATGCTTCCGCTCAAAACGGTCCCCACCCAAAACCCCAAATAAATTAGCAGCAACTGATTCTGCTTTTTCTCCGTGCTGTCCCAGGGGGGAAGCCCTCAGAGGCTGCCCTGAAGAGCCTCAACCCTTCCCCGCGGGAGGAGGGGGCAGAGCTGAAATCAAGTTCAATGAAAACAAGGCCAGCCATGTAGTGGGACTGGGGTAGGAACAGAAGCGGGCAAGGGGAGAACCCCCAGAGGTGGCGGGAGGGAGCTGGGGTGAGGGCAGAGACCAAGGGCAGACTGCAGGGTGGAAGGACAGGAGACCAATTGGGGAGCCAGAGGCGGTCCCCTCTCTCCACCAGCGACCTTGGCCAGCGTGGAGTGATGGTGGGTGATGCGCGGTGGGGGGAGGGGGAGTGGGAGTGGGCTGCCCCGCGGGGTTGGGTCAGGCTCTCAAGTCTCTCCGGGTGTGGTAGGAGGCCACGTTAGGGGTCTAGAGGGAGCGCCCAGAGGGTGCTGTCCGTGGTGCTGAAGCCTCGGGAGCCGCAGGAACCCTGAGACAGGGGATTGGGACTCCGCTCACCTTGCCCGGCGCACAGCAAAAGCGCCACGACCGAGGCGGAGCGCATTGCTAGCCGGGTGGTGAGGAAAGGGTGGACGCGCTGCTGCAGGAGGATGGCGGGAGTGGGTCTGTGGTCTGGCCACCGGAGCTCTGCACCAGCGAGAGCGCTGCGGTAGAGGCGGCGACGGTGGTGGTGGTGGTGGTGGTGGTGGCGGTGGTGGTGGTGGTGGCGGTGGTGGTGGTGGCGGCGGCGGTGGCGGCGGCGGCGGCGGCGGCGGCAGGAGCAATGCTATACCCCGCTTTTATACACACGCACACACCCGCGCACACGCGCACACCCAGGAAATTACGTCATAGGACCGCCCCCTGCGCCCTTTTCCCACCTTCGAGGACCCGCCCCACCTCCAGCCTCACCCCGGGCTGCCTCCATCCTGCTCCTTGCTTGGTGACTGTGAAGAGCACCCAGCTTCCGAAGGGGGCACAGCTGAACCAACTGTCAATTCGCTGTGTGTCCGTGGGCAAGTCACTCCTGTCTCCCAGCCTCGCACTCCTTCCCTATTTCCCTCTCCAGGCAAAAGCTGACTTTTCCTCTCCTTGTGGTACTTTTCTCTTGATTTCACTGGCGAGAGGCATGCTCCAGAACTCCCTGGAATATCCAGTGGGTCCCGCAGAAGCCTCCCGGCCCCTGCCTAAGCGAGGCCCCTCTTTTTCACAACACACTTTTGTGCCTCACATTCTGTCAGTGTGTGTATTTAATTGTTGTTGGACAGGGGTTAGCGGTCGGTGCTGAGAGCTCCTCACTGACAGCCAGTGACTTCCCGCTTGGCCAGTGTGTGGACTGAAGAAGGTTCCATGGGTCCACAGCTCTCAACGGGGCAGGCAGGGCGGCAGTGGGAGGCAGTTTCCCCCATCAAGCTAAACTGGAAGTGGTCAGTCCTAGTCCAGCACCCCGGGGCGCCTCTCCCTCCATCAGTCGAACCTTGTCGCTTCTTAAATGGTCGGGTGCAAGCCAGCTTCCTGGTTGGTTTTCCTTCGCCCCACCCCCAGCTCTACACTCACCCTTTGGACCACATGGGAAGCCCTCTGTGGCCTGCACCCAGTGCCATGGTGAATCTGGTATCTGGGTGACAGTTTGGCGCTGGCTGGCATCCCTCAGAGCCTTTCCTTCCTGTCCCCACCTGCTGCTGCTCTTTCCTGCTTCCTGCCCACACCTCCGCCTACTTGTGCCTTTAAAGGAGAGACTGCTTTGCATGTATTCATTCAACAACATGTGTTAAGCATCCACACAGGCTTAGAACACCTCAGAGCACCCACTCAGCTTTGCTAGATGCCGAAGTTACAGCGGTAAACAAAGCAGCAAGACCAATCCTTACAGAATCCCCTTCCAGAGAGCGAAAGACGCAAGGTGCCCAGTATTTTGGGTGGCAGTCAGGCTAAGGGCAAAACTCAGAGAAGGGGGCAGAGTGGTGGAGAGGGAAAGGAAAATATTAAAGAGGATGGCTCTGAGCGGCCTTGGCAGGAGGTGGTGTTTGCAAAGGCGATGGAGTGGGCCAGCGCCTATCCTGAGGGAGGGCTTTCTTTCCAGGAGAGGGAGCAGCCAAACGTCCTGAAGGAGGAAGGCATCTGGCCCATCTAAGGGACAGCAAGTGGGTGGACATACTGGGCTCCCAGAGCTCTGGGGGAAGAATAGCACCCATCTCAGCTCACAGTTAGAAGTATAGGTGGTCCCTCACAGCTGCTCCCCCCAGGGCAAGCACCAGCAATTTTAAGGCATTCATTCTACATCGAGTCATCTCCAGTCACTTAATATTAGTTCCTAGAGAAGGACTCCAGCTGAGCATTGAGAGAAAAAGTGTTTCAGGTTCTAGGACATAAGGTCATTGTGGTCGTGTGCAAACTCCTAATGTCCTTTCCAAAACATCGTTTCGTAAATATTAGCTGCGGGAAGGCATGGTGGCACGCACTTTTAATTCCAGAACTTGGGAGGCAGAGGCCAGCAGATCTCTGAGTTCGATTCCAGCCTGGTCCACATAGTGAGTTCCAGGACAGACAGAGCTACGTAGGTGAGACCCTGTCTCAAAATTAATTAATTCATGCTACGTGCATCATGGCCAGCATCATCCCAGGCACCCTCCGTGGGTCACAATTTAGGTGCGCTGGCTGCTTCATTTTTATATCACATAAAATATAAATGTAGTTTAATATAACGTCTGAATGGCAGACGTACTGGGAGCCAAAGGCCACCACCAGTTTCATGTCCACCTCCCAGCCCAGCTTCTTCCGCTTGGTGGGATGCTTTGAGGAGGACTTCCAGTAACATCACCATCACGCTCAAGAAGGAAGCCCTGCTTCTCACACTGCAGTCTGCTTCAAGAGTGCAGACTTTATCAAGAGCACACACCTGACCAACAGCATACCTTTAAGTGATGGCACCTCACTTAAGAAGTGCAGCACTTCTTCAGTGGCACACACTGTCAATAGCACACTATCGGTAAGGTACTTTAGCAATAGAATTTTACGTCAATAACCGACTTAACCGATACCTTCCGTTATCAATAGCACAGCACACTGTCGATAGTGCACACTTCATCAATCTTTTGCCTACCCCTCCCTTTGCCACATGCCCTCCATTCCTGTCTCTCCTTCTCACCTCTCTCCCAGGGATCCCTAATAAATAGAATCCTCATCTCGGGGCACACAAGTTCAAAGCTGGTCAACGCCAGCTTTGTTTCTGAGGTGTGGGTGGCCTGACAGTACCCTGGTCCTTTAACGGTCTTTGGTCCTGGTAACTGCATGGAGCTGGGGCCTTTTGAGCCTCCCCTCCAGGCCACAGGTGTTTCTTTCCCCTCCACACTGACTCTGGGGCTTGACTGTCTCTTGGTGATTATGTGATTAAAGGTCTTAGGATGCTTCTCCCTACACAAGTGTCTTATCAATACTTGGCTATTCCAGTGCCTCTGACCAGGATGCTGAACAGTGACCATGGCCTGTGGGCGAGTCCAGTGGGTTAGGGATTAACAAGGGTTTATCGTTGCCAGTCCTGAAGGGCAGAATGAGGTGGTGGGGTGGGCCCAACATAGAGTCACCCGAAGCTTATACCACTCCCTGCGGCACTCACTAGCCGCTGTCCCGCGTTCTTCCACAAGAAAACAAATGGCATTTCTGTGACTACTCTGAGTATCCACATTTGGTGTGCAGGCTTGGCGGTGAAGTTCAGAGAAGGTACCAAAACTGCCACACCACATAGCTGGTACTTGATAGGAAGGGCTGTGTGCAGGCTAGAGCCCCAAAGCTGCAGTGTAGATGTTAGTTGCTTTTGTGCAAAGAGAGAGAGAGAAAGCTAATCTAGTGCCCCAGAAGAAGAAATTGAGACTCAGAAATGGGTAGTCCCATGGCCCGAGTCACACAGCATAACAACAGCAGGGTAGAGTGAGAGCCAAGTCCTTGGGTCTTCCTTTGTGGACGAGGCTGCCCTGCCTCCTTCCTGAGATGGGGGAGGGGGAAGCTGGAGCATGGGATGTTGCCAGACCTTTCCCAGAGGTTCAGTGGCCTGGAAGGGGCTTGTTCTGAGCAAGCCCCTTTGTTATGGACTCTCTTTTCAATTAGTTCTACCAAGATTATTTAGAACTGAACGAGGCCTGGAATATGCTGATGTGGAAGGAAGGCCAGAGCTCTGCCTTCTTGGAGCTTTGCTAAACTTCAGAGACAGACAGCGAACAATGAGTTGTGGCAACGAAGCACTTTAGATAGTAAGTTAGAAGGCCTCGGTGGCTGGGAGAAAAGGAGAGTCCTGGGCAGGGTAAGGAGCCTTGGATAACATGGTAATGGGATAGGTGGGCCTTCTGGTGGTGGTAACGAGTAAGGATCGGCAGGAACTGGGAGTGAAAGATGTATAACACACGGAAGAACATTCTAGGAGCAGCTCATGCAGAAGCCCCGGGGCAGCCATATACCTAAGCAGGTGTGAGAAAGAGAGGAAAAAGGAAACCAATGTGACTAGCAGGGAGGGAGCCCAGTGGTGGGTGGCAGAGGGGAGACAGTGCTGAGCACCCTTCCACCCTCATCCCTAGGCTGGACCACTGCCACCACCTGCCCTCGGTGGCTAAAGAAGCCCTTTGAGTAGCATCCGATGCTAGGTAATGATGGGCCTCTCTGGCTATGGCTCGGGGTATCTTCCTGCTGACGGGCTGTCAGAGGTCCTGGGAGGAACAGCCCTGCCAGTGCCCCAGGGAAAGTGGCAGCTGCTTATCTGGCAGTAGGTCCTGGCATTGGGCAGAGTCAATACGCTCTGGGCCCTGCTTACAAAATCATGTTTTCCAAACACAAGGCCCCACCAAGCCCCTTATCAGGCCTCAGGGTGGAAAAGCTCTGTTGCCTGGCAATGAGGCTTTATCTGTGAGGTGTGAACAAGGACTGTGTGAGGTGGTTTCATTAGATCTCTTCCCATCTGTCTCTGCAAACAGCCCCGGGGGCCTCCAATTAACGATTTGCCTTCTTTCTGTGTTACATGTTTGCTTTCATCTAATAAAGCAGTTCACCGGTCTCCTCAGCAGGTGGATGATGGCGTTAACAGGCCCCAGACTGGGTGGAGGTGGCAGAGGGAAGTGCCCCATAAACCAGACTCTAGACCCTGAGGTTGCTTCATAAAGGATATCTAGCGTAGCAAGCAGGCTAGCAAAAAGATCCAAACCCGGAGAGCTTGGAGACTGCAGGACTCACCCCTCCCCCACCCCGCTTCCCGTTCGTCTTTCCAGTCTGTGTGCGCAAAGGTTCGCCAGCAAGCATCTCCCTCTGGAATTAGATTATGAGCTTCTGCAGCCAAGGCAAAGGACCCTGAGGGAGGGTCCTCAGGGACCCTGGAAGGGTGATTTGGGTGGGACTGTGTTCTGACATGCAAGCCCCAAGGTCTTGCTGCAGGTTTGCTGCGGAGCATGCGAGGCCATGCGGGGAGGAGCCTACTGCTGCGCTCTCAGAGAGTCAAATCCAGTCCGGGGGCTGGGCGGGTCGCTGTCCGCGGTGCTGAAGCACTCATCCTTCTTGGACCTCCTGGCTTTGATCCGGGACTTAAGTAACACATCGCAGGGATGGCAACATTAAGCTACTATGCTCTTCTAATGGCTTAAACTTAATAAATAAACAAATAAGTAAGTAAGTAAATAGACAAGACAATAATTAGGGCTATTTTTCTTTCCTCAAACAATTTGTGAAGTTTTATCAAACTCCCAACAGTTTTCACCTC